ATTCAACTTAAAAAAAAATTAGGTGCATGAATAGCAAGTTTCCTAATCGTGGAATCTCTCTTTTGATAATTTTTTTCTCCTTTTTTGTTCGATATCAATCACTAGAATCTCATTGAATTTGTTCTTAATTTAATTTCCTCAAATGTAGTCATTATAGTTACACATTAAATGAAAAAATCAAGAGAACTTTTTGATAGGAAAGGATGTGTGGATCCCTTGTATTGCAATTGAATAAATTAAAATATTAAGGCCAATGTGGTGAAGTTTTTAATAAAGGAAAATTCAAACAAATAATTACTTTGATAAAAACCAAAAAACCAATATAAACGCATTTCTATGTTCGTAATAATGTATTATGATTACTTGACCAAATTCAATGGACCATTTAAGTGGCTTATCAAAGAGGGTAGTGACCTCTGCTATGCTTCTTTGGTAGTAAATTAAAATCTATGAGGGAAATAATACGATGAAGGCTGTTCAGATGTATTGGTTATTTCGCTAAACTATAATTAGACAATATTGTTAACTCGAATGTCCACCTCGTCACCCAGATATCCATCAACAAGAAATGTATTTATTTTGCCTATTGATTTAGAAAACCACAGGCAATATCCTATGGAATATTCTATAATGCGCCCCTAGTTTCATGATCTTTGGTACTAGTTTCAATATCGGTTTTGCGTGCAATAGTGTTGTCAAAACCTACAATAAATAGCATGAGCATGGTGCTCAAGAGATGGCAAACAAATGAAGCAAATCGGCCAAAAAATGACCTTTGACCCTTAGCACCCTCTTCAATTTGGAGACTCTTCATAAACTCTTAGTCATTGACCTCCTTCTCTTTGTTCAATTTGGCTTTCTTTTTTATGGTTTTCAGTTCTCGAATTCTCCTCATTCACTTAATTCTCTTTCATAGAAATTTGGAGTTTTATCAAGAGATTGCAAGCATTTCTTTGTTGTTTTCTTTTAGTTTTCCTTAGATTCATATATCATTCATGTTGGTGTTTTACTTTCATGGAGAGTTGTGAGTGTTCCACTTTGATCGGTCCAAGCATGTCTACCAGTGCCATCAGAACCAAAGTTTTGTGATTTGACCTAATACAAGATGGCTCAGTAGAACATACATTTTGGAGACGAATTTTGGCCATTCAACGATGTACCAAATATTATTCGAGATCCATTTTTTCTCATATTATTTGGTATGTCATTGATTTGATTAAAATTCACTTATTTCCACCTGGGATATGATTGCGGGTGATGGTAAGAACCACATTCAATGATCATGTTTTGTACTAAATGAAATCGGACATGAATATTTGATTGGTACGAAGTATTTTAAATATGTATCTAATGTTACATATTAGAAAAGAAGCCATATTTGAAAATGAAGAAAGAGAGAGTGATTTTAAGATTTTCACCATGGCTCTCCTTTTTCATGCCTCCATTCTAAAGCTGCTATAAATATCGCTGCTCTTTCTCAATTTCCTTTTGTTCGTTTTGTGAAGCCAAACAATTTAAAGTGGGGAAACATTTATCGAACAGACAACACAAAGTCTCGCCATTGTTAGATTCTTTAGATTTTTTTTCTTTCACACTCCTTATATCTTTAAATTGTTGTTGACATCGACACCCAAATTTCAATTCAAACAACAATTTTAAAATCAAAAGCTTGGTGCATGAATGACAAGTTTTCGACTCGTGGGATATGTCTTCTGATAATCTTTTTTTGCTCTTTTTTTGTCAGATTTGAATCATCAAAAACTCATCAGATTTGTTCCTGATTTCATTTCCTCAAATGTAGTCATTATAGTTATAAATTAAATTAATCAATAAAGTGAGCTTTTTGATAGGAGGGGGTGTTTGGCTCCCTTGTATTGGAATTGAACAAATTCAAAATAAGGTCAATGTGGTGAAGTTTTTAATAAAGAAAAATCTGAATTAATAATTAATTTGCTAAACTCTCTAAGAAATATAAATGTGTTTGTATGTTTGTGTTAATCTACCATTACCACTTGACCAACTGCAACGGACCATTTAAGTGCCTTATTAAAAAGGGAGGTGCCCTCTATTATGCTTTTTTGGTAGTAATTTAAAACCCATAGGATAAATAATACGACGGGTGCTCTTCAGATGTATTGGTTATTTTCCTAAATTGTAATTAGACAATATTGTTAACACAAATGTCCACCTCACGGCCCAGATATCCATAAAGAAGAAACGCATTTATTTTGCCCATTAATTTAGAAAAACCACGGGCAGTATTTTTTACAATATTCTATAATGCACCCCTACTTTCATGGTATTTATCACAGGTTTCAATGCTCGTTTTGTGTGCAATAGTGGTGTCAAAACCTGTAATAAATAGCATGAGTATGATGCTTAAGAGATTTCAAACAAATGAAGCAAACTGGCAAAAAATAGCCCTCTGACTCTTAATAACCTCTTCAATTGGGGGACTCATCATCAACTTCTAGTCATATATCTTCTCCTCTTTGTTCAATTTGGCTCTCTTTTTCATGGTTTCTAGTTCTTGAATTCTCTCTAGTCCCTTACTTCTCTTCCATAGAATTCAGAATTCTATTAACAGATTGCAAGCATTCTTTTGTTGTTTCCTTTCAATTTCCTGTAGATTCATTTATCATTCATGTTGGTGTTCTCCTTTCATGGAGAGTTGTGAGTGCTGCACTTCAATCTGTCCAAGCATGTCTATCACTACCATCAGAACCACAATTTGTTGATTCGACTTAATATAAAATGGCTTGGCGTAACATATTTTGGAGATGAATTTTGGCCAGTCAACAATGTACAATATTATTTGAGATTCATTTTTTTTTTCATGTTGTTTGATATGTCATTGATTTGATTAAAATTCACTTGTTTCCACTTGGGATATGTTTATCGGTGATGTCGAGAGCCATATTCAGTGATCTTGTTTTTTGCTAAATGAATTCGGGCTTGAATATTTGATCGATATGAAGTATCTGAAATATATATATATATATATATATATATATATCTAAAGTTAAATACTGAAAAAGAATCTGTACTTGAAAATGAAAAAAAGAGAGTGATTTTAAGATTTTGACAATGGCTCTCCTTTTTCATGCCTTTTTCTCAATTTTCTTTTGTTTGTTTTTCAAAGCCAAACAATTTAAAGTAGGGAAAAATTTATATTGCAGACAACACAAAGTCTTGCCATCTTGAGATTTTTTCAGATTATTTTCCTTTTTCGCACTAACATTTTTAAATTGCTCGACACCCAAATTTCAATTCAACCATTCAACTTTAAAATAAAAAGCTTGATGCAGGAATGACAAGTCTCCAACTCGTGGGATATCATATCTCTTCATTTCCTCAAATTTAGTCACTATATTTATTTATTATTTTAATTAATTAAATGATTTATTGATAGAAGAGGATGGCGGATCCCTTGTATTCGAAAACAATAAATTCAAATACTAATTTCCTCAAGAAAAAATTAATTTGCTCAAATTTATGAAGCAATATAAATGTGCTTGCATGTTTGTATTAATCTATCATTATGACTTGAATATGGTCTAAATCCATTGGTGATTTTAGTAAATTGTAGTTATAGTATATGGTTTAGACAAATCACCACCATCTAGCAGTACTCGTCATAGTCGTGAAACACTTGTTCAGCCCATTAATTTAGAAAACCACAAACAGTATCTTCTGAAACATTGTAGACCACTCTCGTGGTTTCATTTTATGTTCCAATCATACTTTCGTATAAGATTATGGATTCATAACTCCAATAAATAATATTAGCTAGCATGATTTTCAAGACACAGGAAGCAAGTGAAGCAAATAGGTCAAAAATCACCCTCTGTCCCTCACTTCCCTCTTCAATTTTCATACTCTACTTCAACTTTTTGTCATTTACTTTCTCCTCTTTATTCAATTTATCTCTCTTTTTCATGGTTTTTGTTTTTCCCATTCTTTCCTTTCCCTTACTTCTCTTCCATATAATTTAGAATATCATTGGAGATAGCAAGGTTTTTTTTTTGGTTAAAAAACTAACATTTACCGTTAAAATAGTGATGTTGACATCAAAATGATGGCATTAATTATTAATATTTTTAACAGTAGGGGCAACATTGGTGTAATTTTAAACTTGAATGGCAAATTTGCATAAAAAAAAAAAAAAAACTTCCAAGTGCCTGACACTTTTGAGTAAGAACTACTTTAGAGCAAATTTGCATCTTAATCTCCCAATTTGCCTGTGCATGTTAGCCTTAGCAACGCTAATCTGCTTATTTAGAGTCTATAATTTTTTTAAAAAACAATAATAGTTAATAACTTAATACAATATTTGCTTCGGTTGCCTTCATTTTAGTTTTGATTTTTGTAGTTTCAAATTATAAATTTTGGTTGTTTAACTTTATTTTCATCTAAAACCTTAATTCCTATATTTTAAAGTTTCTAGATGTCATATTGGTGTTCTCACTTTATGTAATTTTTTTTTGACCAGCTAACTTTATGTAATTTGTAACTATAATGGTTAATATCATTTTATCTTGTATAAGAAAAAATGGCATAGAGATGCCGTTGGCAAAAGAAAAATAGTCTATAAAATAAAAATCAAAATGAGGATAAATTATTGGTGAATTTTAATAACTAGCCACTGACTGAAATATTGGTGAAAAGAAATAAGAGACTAGAAATAAAAAAAATAAATTGAATTAATATAATTTATTTAATTTTAATTTGTGAATTACACACAGATATTCTGGTAAAAAAGATTATAAATCAGAATGAAATGTTCAAAAAAAAAAAAGGTAAAAAATCAAGGTCTTATTCTTAATTTCAAATAGATTTTGGTTTGTTCTAAAATGGTAAAATTTGAATTGAACCCGCTGGTTTATAAACAGCATTTGTGTGTATTGGCACCATCATTTTCAATTCAATCAGCTCTTTATTGTTCCTTAGATTTTCTGGTTTGTGATTGTCCCAAATCTGGATTCCATTGTCCCAAATCTGGATTCTAAACAAAGTCTATTACTTTACAAAGATTCAAGACAGCCTCATTTGATTCAAAAGATTATATTTGTCTATTCTCTCCTTTCCCTCCTTTTTTCCCTCTTAGCCTAACACTCGATAGAGGGCGTGTGTGTGGCAAATGGGGGCGTACAGAGCCGACGACGATTACGATTATTTGTTCAAAGTGGTTCTGATCGGCGACTCGGGTGTTGGCAAATCGAATCTGTTGTCGAGATTCACCAAGAACGAATTCAGCCTCGAATCCAAGTCCACCATTGGGGTTGAGTTCGCTACCAGAAGCATCCGGGTCCATGAGAAGGTTGTCAAGGCTCAGATTTGGGACACGGCAGGTCAAGAAAGGTTCAAATTCGCATATTTATTTTCGTTCGGGTTAGGTTCATGCTTTTGCGGCTAGCTTTGATTCAACATGTTAAGAATATTTTGGGACTATGAGTGCTTAAACTTAATTTTTTGGTTTCTGATAAGAATGATAAACTTAATTTTTTGGTTTCTGATAAGAATGACTGATAATCATCTGATTCTTTGCTTTAACGGAATGAGGAACGGAGATGATTCTCTTTTCATGCATTTTTTCTGCCGATAATTATGTACATGTTGAACTTGTTATTTGAAGATTATACACAAACACCTAGTTCTTATGGATTTGTTTTTATTGAAATCAATTTGACAATAATACAATGTGGAGTATGTATTTGACAATGGGATGTGTAAAATGTTGATATTGTTATCATCGTTGCGTCATCTAAAGAAATCATTGAAAGAAGAAGTAAGGAACATATACCGATCAATCAAAGGACATGAAAAATCACCTTTGTGGAAAAAAGGGTCAGTATGATAAAGTTTCCAACAAATTAGTTCTATCTGAGAGTGTTATAGAGAGCTCCTATCCAACTGGTTTTCTATTAATTTAAAAAACAGCATTTCATATTAAAATATTATCTCTGGTTCTAAATATAAGAGGTAGTTATATACAACTCCTAATGCCTTTGATTAGATACTTTGTTCGCTGAAACGTATTTTCTTGACTTAGTTTAACTGCTGTGTTTGCTTATCCTTCTATTTTTATCAAGCTGTCAATTTGATCCTGTTTTAACTTCCTATTGATGCATGTTAACTGCATAATGCGTTTGACATGCTGTTTTATTGCTAAAAGCAAAACGTTTTGGTACAAAAAAAATGTATCAGTACCTTGCCAAATGGCATCCATATCAAATGTTAGATGAATCTTGACAATCGACAATTGATATTGCTGCCAATTAGGCAGGGGATTGGCATATTGTAGGGGCCAAATATTTTTCCTTCCAAAGCATCACATGCTAAAGTTTCCCTTTTGAATGACCTTTTAAAACCTGTTCTGTTTCCTTTTGCTTTTAGGCATGTGACTTGAAAATCATGACTTTGTTTGAGCCATTGTTGTGTTCGTTCTTGGCTAAAAATGTGCCTTTCCAAGCATATGTTTGATGCTAATTTGCTGGTCTTGGGTAATATAAATGTTATGATGAGAATAAACAGAGCACTCATGAAAGGATTGATTTATTGGCTGAATGCTTGTGAAAGCATGAAACCTCTTCGAAAATGATGAAGAAAAGCTTCATGCTTCGGTGAATCCCTTTGATCATGGGATTTTGCTGTTGTTTTTAATATATAAATAGACAGATTAACATTATTGTTAATTTATGATCTTTACAGAACTTTTGAAAGTGACATCACCTTGTATGTAAGATCCACATCAACAGTGATTTAACTAGGCCATATTTTGTATTTTTTAATCATATTTGAATGTTTAACCAACTCAAATCGTTTCCAAAATAATGAAATAAATGTTGCGAGAAAACTCCGGAAAACTTGTATCTGCTTATTTGGTTAGATATTCTGTACCATTAGAACTTGTCTATGCTTAACTCTTTAGCTCAACTTGAGGATCTTGGGATCTAAATAAAAAGTTTTCCTTTAGCTTTCTCTGTGCCGGTTTAAATTTCCTATGATCTGATGCCATTGGCAGTGCTGCTTAGTTTGTAAACTGAGCTTTGTAGTTCCATTCCGTTTTTAGCTCAAAATCATTCTTAGCTTGTAAACTGAGCTTCGTGGCTTTATTATGTTTTTAGCTGAAAATGATTGACTTTCTTTGCTCCATTATTAGCCTTTTTCCCGCGGCTAACTGTCAGCTTTTGAATGATATTGCTCTTCTGTGATCATAACGTAGAGAAATATGAAAATAATGAGCAGGTGCTCAGTATATGTACCGGGCAAATGCATGAGTAGATATGGAAACATTTGAAAAAGTAAAAATGCATTTAGTCTCCGATGATGAATCTTTATTAACATTCAATACATGATTAGATTATTAAATTAGCTCTATCATTAGATGGTGAAGTAACGTGGTTCCCATGCAACGGAATGTCTTGTTGATTCATAATTTTGTCTAGAACATCTAGAAGTAGCATTAGCTAAATCTTCATTTGCTTTAATCTTAAATATCTATCTAATTTTGCTGTTTTCCGTTTTTATTAAAGGTATCGAGCCATCACAAGTGCATATTATCGAGGGGCTGTCGGCGCTTTACTAGTGTACGATGTTACCCGTCATGTTACGTTTGGAAATGTGGAGAGATGGCTGAAGGAGCTGAGAGATCACACAGATGCCAATATTGTTGTAATGCTTATAGGGAACAAAGCTGATCTTCAACATCTAAAGGCGGTTTCAACTGAGGATTCTCAGGCTTTTGCTGAGCAAGAGAACATATTCTTCATGGAAACATCTGCTCTCGAATCCACAAATGTAGAAGATGCCTTCACAGAAGTGCTGACGCAGATCTATCATATCGTGAGCAAGAAAGCTCTCGACGTTGGGAATGATCCAACAACTTTACCAAAAGGACAGACCCTTAATGTCGGGTCACGCGATGATGTATCAGCTGTGAAGAAAACTGGATGTTGCTCTGCTTGAGCTGGGCATGCAGGAAAAATCCATATTCCTTGCTTTTAGCTCCTTAACTTGTTTATATATATCCATGTAGAGATTGGCCCTATGGCAATGATTTTATACAGAGGAATGAACCTTTGATCATTCTGTTTTGTTCATGGAGACGATAGATGTGAGGCTCATATGTTGCATGGACTTTGAGCCTTTGAGGTGAGTCGCACTGTATATGATTTATTAGCATCACAACTTTATATGGATAGAAAAATTACAAATGGATACCTGTTTAAAAATTTTATTACTCATAAGCAGTTGAATTTGAATACCAGTATTTTCTGTATATGAAATCTTTATGAGTACTGATACTTTTTATTTTAAAAAAAAAACGTATCAAGTACTTATGAGCAATAAAATTTTTAGCAGTTACTCGTTGATTGTAGAGCATCCAAACCAATTTATTTGTAATGCATGGAGTGTTAAAGCATTACTTTTATGGGGTAGTTGGCAAACAACGTAGAATTAAAATGAAAAAGTAATTTTGTTAATTTATACTTTTCATGGATGTTTTCATCTATACTTCTATAGCATGCTTACCTCTCATATTTGGCATATTTTTATAAGTTTCATCTACTCATATTCCAATGATGATTGAAGGATGCTTATTTTATACTCCTCTATTTCTTAATATATGAGATCTAATTGTTGAGTTTCTAAATATAAGACTTATTTATCATATTTTTTTTAAATTATCCATATAGATACTCCTTCAATTATAATCAAGTAAAAGAGGAAGGAAGAATATTAAAAAAGATGATTATGGTATTTTAGAAAAAAACATATCATATTATTTATAATTAACTATTTTATCTAACTTTCTTAATCTAATTAAATTAGTTAAGTAGATTTTGTATTAAGGACTAGAGGAGTATTAACCATCTAAATTATTATCCATATTTTAAATTTTAAATTTTATTTTATTTCCAATTTTTGATTAACTTTCCACCGAAATTAATAAAATTACAAAAATAAAACAAAATTTGAACATTCGAATATTGATTTGAGCGGATTAGAGGGTTTAGATTGGACTTTGCAAGAATGTCCATAAAATTTATAATAAATTAAGAATTAAGAAAATCATTTTATTATTAAGAGTTTGTCTTCTATTAAAAGTTTCAACAAAACCATCTTTGTTGATCAAATCAATCTGGTTATTCAAGATGTCCTCCATCTCCTTTGCAAGCATCCTTCTTTCAGTCTGTTAATTTAACTTCTTTCGATTCTCTTGCTTGTACTGTCTTTCAATTAATTGTATTTTGTCTCTGCATTAAAAAAAAAAAATCTTGCAAAATGCGCAATTGTTTTTTTGTTTTTGCCAAGCAAAATGCACAATTTGAAAAGGGAACAAATGCAAAATTTGGTTCCGTCTAGTACAAAAGAAAGGGAAGGAAAGGAAAGGAAAAAAAATTTAACGAGTTTAATTAAAAAATTTAAATAACAGGATTTCAAAACCTCATTGAGAAAAATTGTAAAATAAAAGAGCAATAAAAATTAATTTAAAACTTTTAAACTCTATTTTTTAATTTTTTTTAATTTAGCTTATTAAAATTTCCCATGCCCTCAAGGTACCAAACATAGAATTAAGCTTTTGATCTTTCATATAAGACCTATTTAACTAATTTGATAAGATTAAAAAAATTAAGTTAATTATGAAAAATATGATATCTTTTCCTAAAACATTATAATCATCTTTCTTGATATCTTCCCTCCTTCTTCTATTTGATTATGATGTAGAGAGTATCCATAGAGGTAATTTAAAAAAAAATAATAAATGTGAAAAATAGATCTTATATTTAGAATCAAAATTAATTTAACAATTAAGTCATATACCGAATGAGTATATAGTAATGATTTTCTTGTTTCTAATAAGCCCCAATGCAAAGAGAGCTCTTTCTTTTGACAATGGTGAAGAGCATCAGGCTCGAGATTACCTCAACTAACCTTCTGATTTTTCATTGCCACCGTATTCCCCCCAAAAAAAAAAAAAAAACAGGGAGCTAGTAATCCGCCCGAATTATTCATGGCGTACGCTGCGAGAGGAAGCATTTGAATATATACAGATTGTCCTCAGCTTTATTACAAAATTAAACACTAAACACCCAGATTGATACATATCATTGATACAAGAACAAAAGGTAGAAACCAGAAAGCAAAAGTTTCACGAGATTCAAAACTCTCAGATGGCATTATGAGCGAGGTAATCCTGCAGGGCACTAATAACTAAATGCAGTTGTGCTAGATGGCACCTGAAATTTGATATCCTTCAGGGACAATATCTGGAAAAATAATTATCAAAAAACAATTTTGCTTTGTATCAAGGCAGAAAGAAGTTAGTCATGAGATAACAAAGGAAATAATTTGAGGAAAAAAAGATAAATTGTGGTTCAATCCTGACATAATCAAATTTTAACTTAATTGTGACTGAGCTGATGTTCACACGACCATCATTTACTTTTAAGATTGAGATGTGCTTGACATCAAGGGTTCAATATCAATCCCCACCCTCGCCCATTTGCCCACTTCATGCTCCCAATGGTTTGAGCCTCCTTTATAACCAAAATTATAATCTAATCATTGTATTTCAGGCTTCTAACCTAAATTAGAAGGTTAAATTCAATTCACATGTAAACTCATGATGTATGACTCCACTAGGTTTCGCTGTGATTACCAGGAGGCAAATCAAGTGGTAAAACCTCATAAGACAAAAAACACAAACTCTTCATTAGTAATCTTGCTCATCAAGGATTGATGAGTAACTTTAATTTCTGATATCGTAATTATAATTAACAGAACAAAAAGGTTTGCTCAAGTGGTCATAAGACATAAGAACCAATGTCTTCGAACATGTGAACCAGGCATATTCGAAAATTTTGTAAAGTATCATCCCTGTTAAATGCGAGTGGCGGAATGAAATTATGCACTCAACTCGTTCCCTCAAAAGTGTAGATAGTAAAATCAATCATCAGCACAAATACAATATCAGCGCCAGCATAACTTGTCTTCTTAATGTATGTGCATAATGTCTTGAAATATTTAGGCTGCACTAGGAGTGCCAATAAACAATATTGCTAAACCTTCAAAATGCATAAAACCATTGATTCAGACCTTGTAGCATGGAGCGTGTTATGCATTAATGCAACCAAAAACAGAGTAAATTGAGAATACCACCTTATAGCATGTCATATAATATGCATGAGGCTCAATATATGGACCCAACATAAAGAGCAAGTAAAGGAAGCTTCTCATGGGCATACCAATGCATAACACATTTTCAGTGCAATGAAAGAAGAAAAGGCCATAAAAATTTAGCAAAAGAAGAAACTGAACATCCAACCCTAGTATTTCTCAGGAGAAATGAAAAGGATTAACTTTGAGCACAAGAGTGTTCCTACCAGAAATCTCCCCAAGGATGGCAAATGGCTACTAGCCGTCTTAAACTGGATTTTGATATGTGGGTTCTCGGAAAGAATTATTAACTTATGACCCGCCAGGGGTTTTCATGTCCCGCGGGGGGGGGGGGGGGGGACTAACCAATTTCTAACGAAGATATGGTGTGGCTATCCATGACGACAATTACTTGATTCCACCCATCCTCTAAAACTTTGTAGCAGTATCAAAACAATGAACATATGGTGAGAAACGTAGATATTGGAGCATATTATCATGTGTCTCCGACGACTCATCCACGAGAATTGAGAAGTGCAAATTTGAAAGGAAGACATGCTTTGAGACAAATATTGATGGCCTAATGGTAAATGATTAAGCAATTAATGGCCAACAAAAACTGACTAAGCAATTGGAAGCAGACTTCACCTTATTCTGTTGTTATCACTATCATCATCTATATATCCTTCGGATTATAAAGCAAATGACTTCATAATGCCGCTTCTTCATTCAGAACAACTCTACAATTCGCTGGAGCAGTATAACATGATTTCTATAGAAAATTATGTTTCTAGTAGACAAATCCATCCAATAGGCCTAATAACTGAATGGCTGCAAAAAACTAATATCCTGCTTGGTAATGGAAACCCAACTGAAGTCCCATAACTCCAAAAGCGAATCGACGACAATCGCGGAAGCATCAATTTTAAAATTAAAATCCAATAGACGAAACGCAGGAAATCAAAGACTGAATTCACGCAAACCCCAATAGCACCATCTAACAAACAATCGCAGAACCGAAATAAAACCTCCAAACCCCTAAATCACAAACATTAAACAAAGCACCAAACTGAGGAAACTCACCACCTTTTCATTACTAGCGAGGTTTCTCCGAATCAGAGGAAGATGTAGGCGAAGATTCCTCAGCGCGGAAAGAGGGTAAGGGATTCCCGCCTTTGATGACCCATCCAAGGGCAAAGAAGGCGGCCCCAGCAAGAATAGCAGTGCCCCAAGCATGAGAGTACCATCTACTGTATTGTTTAATGGCATACCTCCATTGATCTCTGAGAGTAGCAGCGTCCGGATTCACAGCATCAGGTGGGTTCGGATAATGAGCCTTGTGGCCCGAGAACTGGTTTGAACCGTGATTGTTGGAATGGCCACTTCGGATTTCAGAGGGTACCCCATTTGAAGAAGACGAAGAAGGAGCAGGAGAAGAGGAATGGCTTTTCGGGTCAGCTTCAGGCATGGTGGTCGTGAATGGTAATAGCAGAATGGAGGGTTTGAGTGTACTAAGAAGCTCAGGCGAAAATGGGAATCAATCATCTTCCGCACTTGACCGGGAATAAAAAAGAAGGCATTTTGCGGGTACTGTAATTTATTTTTATTTTAATTTTAATTTGTTACGTTTTTTTTTTTGGATAATAACAAAAAAAAAGAAGCTAAAATTTTGTAAATGCCAAATAAAGAATGTCAACAAAATTTTTTTGTCACTTGCAAGTTTAGACTTGTCAATATCAAATAAAGTTATGTTACCAAACTTGATTTGAGATTTGTAATTTCCAACTTCTTTTTCTATAATTCTTTTTTTATTCTAAATTAAAAACTCTACATATAGGAGTTAATAGTATTAACAGAAGAAAATTACAAAATCTAACAGTATTAGTAGAGTAAAATTAGAGTATTTAATTAAGAGAAAAAACACA